TGACATTACAAAATTATCGCATTAGCTTAATAATTCCTAAATTATTTCATATGTGTTTCCAGGAATAAAAGCCAAATTGTTCCTCGCGTAGTTTTTATTTTAAAATGTTTCTTTAAACCGACACCCTAAAATTATGTATAACTGGAGAAGCACTGATGTAAGCTTTCTTCTATTCCGATATTTCCAGTTTGTGTACGAATGAACCCGACTCGGTTGTGTTGTCAACAAATATAAGGTATTTTCTTAACCTTAATGCCATTTATTTCTATCAGCATCAGCGACGAGGGATGCGGTAAACATAGCAGGCAGGCAGATTCTTTATTTTCAGTTTTACAGCAAATCATCATCTGATTTTGCACTGCAGTTATCGCACTTGTCATGAACTGCTCGAAAACATTTCGCGCCTTAATTTCCACATTTTTTCATGGCACAGGGCGATGATGCACAAGATTTCTGACTTTTCATATGTAATTGCGACAAATCTTGAACATCCCCCTGATGGTACAAATGCCACTGATGCTGCATGGCCATCAGTGCGCTGTAGTTAGGGAGATGTGAAAGCAAGGAGGCGTGTGTAATCATTACGCACAATTAACAAAACGCCTTTTTTCACGATGTCTAAACGGTGTCTTGGAAACCACGAATGCTTCTACGAAGATTTCTCGGTGCCACTTTGTTCTTCCTCCCATTCACTCCCGAAATTGAGCCTCTAGAGGCTAGCTATCTTCCTCTCGTGTTAAGGTAATAAACAAAACACATAATTTAATTCATATATCAGTTACAGAGATGAAGCGGTCAATGTTGCAATGAAGTCCGCACGATACAAGCTATTTTAAGATCGTGTCTACAAACCGTTGCACAGAAATAGACAAAATACCTTCGTGCAAGTCATCATCTTCCAGACGCGAGCAGTCTCTCCCCGCGATGCACAGACGCAATTTATTTTCATTTTCATTATTATTCTTTACTTTGTTTTTTTTCTGTTTTGTTCTGCTCTTCCAAAGACCACGACATTGTTGACGGATCCTTATTGATTTTACTAGTGCCCGGTACAACGAGAAAAAAGACAATAAGATGCACAACAAGTATGAACATTTTCCGAATAAAAGAAATACTTTTTTTCGATGTTTTTTTTTTCTTTTTCATCATCATTAATGTAAGCTAAATAACGGCCGGCGAAAAGTATAATTATGATTTTCCCAAACGAGCTACATTCTTCCAACTTCGGAGGAGTAGCTCTCCCCCCCACCAGCCAGTTCCTCCTCTCAGACTGCTTACCCTTCGACCTCATACTTGAGCCACTGCACTGGACTCACCAGGTCACCGAAGCTAAACAAAAGCGAGATGAGAAGGCATGTCGAAGGAAGACCTTGGCTAACTGGTCTTGCATTGTGCAGCGGTGAGGACTGCCAGTGTCAAGGGCAGCGTTGGACTTCCCCCCCCCCCCCACCTCCTTCCCTTGCGTGCACTGCATACTTCAACGTGAACTTCATGACCTTTTTTTTACGCGTTGCACAAACTAGAGAGTAAGTGCCAGCAGCTGTCATGAATTATGTAAGCGTTCTATGTGTCGATTTTTTTTTCTTTTTTTTTGAGGGGGGAGGGGTGCGACCATATATCACACATATGTTTTGGCGCCAGTGTTGTCAAGGGCAGTGATCCGGCTGATATAACAAGCCTTTTACCTAACTACGATACTTGAGACTATATAACTGACGTAAATTTTAGACACCCCGCTCTTAGTTACATAGACTTAAATGCTTAATTATTATAAGCAAGGGACGTTATATCGCCAGGCAGTCCATTGCTGCCTTGCCAGTGGTTCTTATGGGCCCTCTAAAATTACATCATCGCCCATATAAGACGTGAGTCAGGAGTAATGCGAGATCTGCCGGACGCCAGCGCCTCTGGGAACGGACCTGAAGGGAGCCTCAGTCGCCATCCCGGGCCTGCAGGAGGAGGGAAGGACAGAACAACGGGCTTCGTCAGAGGAGGCGCCGGGAAATGACCGAAGACAGTGAGATGACAGCCAAGGGTTTTTAGGGATTTACTTATTCATCTGTTTTGGTGGTTTTAGCGAGGAACAGCGTCTGTAGTTTTATTAATTGTGTTCACCTTCTCTCTCTCTCTCTCTCTCTCTCTCTCTCTCTCTCTCTCTCTCTCTCTCTCTCTCTCTCTCTCTCTGTCTCTCTCTCTCTCTCGTTCTGCGTGTATCTATATCTGTGTTGTTGTTTTTCTGTCACTCTCTCTTTTTTTCCTCCCTCCCCTTCTTTAAATATTTATTTTCTAAGAAAGTGTATGAACAGTGGATAGAAAAACGTAGTGCATCACATTTTCTTTACAGCGGTTCTTATTTCACAAATAGTTGCAATAATATATATTAATTAACACCTGACTGAGACTAAAACGCATCCAGAAATGCACGTGAGCGTGTGTGCTTCATCGCTCCCCATAAACAGTCACGCTTGGGACTCCCTTCGGGGTCATATCAAGGGCCACTCCGCAGGTCCCAGAACGCTCGTGTTTCGTCCCCAGTTCGCGGCCGCCCTTTCCGCGAACGAGGCAGAGCGATATACTGTATTTAACTCGTCGAAATGAAGCTTTCAAATTGATGATACATCTTCATGAGGGGCGTCGCCGTGCCGTCGCTCTCGCCCTCGCCAATTTGGCCAATCGCGTCTCGTTCTCTCAGCCCTATCTCTTCTCGTCTCGCCGCCTGAGCCATGACTCGTACCTACTATAGAACCAAGCCCTCCTCGACCTTGACTCACCGCGCGACTCACCGCTGTCAGCAAATTCTCCCCAGTTCGTGAACCGCGATCGGCGATCGACGGTTCATCGCATGCTTCGTGAATTACGACTCGCAGCACGATTTTCGACTCGAAGCTTACAGCACAAGTGGCCCTCGGCAGGAACCACGACACGCGACAGAGCCTATGAATAGCGTCAAGAAAAGTCGCGGATTAGAATACTAGCGTTTAGGTAGCATTTAGGGGCGGAAATGAAAATGCTTCTGTGCCATTTCAACTGTATGATATACATACATACATATATGTATGTATATATATATATATACATATATATATATATATATATATATATATATATATATATATATATATATATATATATATATATATATATATATATATGCTGTATATATACATATATATGTGCATATTTATAAATATATATATATATATATATATATATATATATATATATATATATATATATATATATATATATATATGCTGTATATATACATATATATATGTGCATATTTATAAATATATATATATATATATATATATATATATATATATATATATATATATATATATATATGAAGAGACAATGTGTGTGTTTGTGTGTGTATGTTTGTGTTTGTTTGTGTGTGTGTGTGTGTGTGTGTGTGTGTGTGTGTGTGTGTGTGTTTGTCTGTGTGTGTGTGTGTATGTGTGTATGTGTTTGTGTGCATGTGTGTGTGCCTGTGTATGTGTGTGTGTCTGTGTGTGTGTGTGTGTGTGTGTATGTTTGTATGTTTGTGTGTGTGTGTTTGTTTGTATGTGTGTGTGTGTTTTTGTGTGCGTGTGTCTGTGTATATGTGTGTGTGCTTTTGTGTATGTATGTGTGAGTGTGTGTGTATGTGTGTATGTATGTGTGCTTTTGTGTATGTACGTGTGAGTGTGTGTGTGTGTATGTATGTGTCTGTGCTTTTGTGTATGTACGTATGAGTGTGTTTGTGTGCAGCATATACAAGTTTTGTGTCTCACGAAGTTGCCTGCGTTATCGCACAGGCCTAACAATTCCAGACCTCACTTGAACACCTCATTGTGCAAGTTCAAAGAATTAAAGCATCACGTTTTTCCCGAGTACAAAATGGAATTACGAGCTGACACGTGACCCGCCATTAAGCTGAATGGGAGTGGAGTATGTAAGGGAGTTCTCGCTCTGGCAGTATAAAGGGCGGAGGTGGAGTGTGTGTCGGGAGTGAGGCTTGGGAGAGAGTGGCCGCGAGAGGAGCGCTGGGTGAGTGTGAGGGCGCGGGGGCGCCCGGGCGGGATGGGCGGGGCAGAGGCCGTTAGTGATGGGGAGAAGCATCTACGTGCATGTGTAGATCTATTTCTCTATCTGTCAGCCTCTCTTTTCAGCACTTACGCCCTCAGTCTTTGCCCGTTGCTGCTCCCCATCACACACGTCAATCAAAAGAGTGATCTGTGCCGCCGGAATAATGTGCTCGACTCATGAAAAGCTGCGATACACAAGGTCTGGGCGAGGGCAGTTATATCCAGTTTCTGTTTTCCTGCTAAGCTTATCATGACACGTGAGAGGAAGCATTCGATTCTGGCAACGCTAGAAATTAACGCAACTTTAAAGGAAATAACCAAACCTAACCAGTTATTGTTATTACAGAGTTATTATACATATTTATTAATTCACCCTAGATTACTCTGAATTCCTTTGTGCCAATCTTTCTTATAGTCATCTCTGTCACATTGCCATCAATGTCATTTTCTTCGGTTGGATTTAAAGTATGTATTTCTAAAATCATTAATCCCGATGATCAAGATGAATTTCAAGAGATAGAGAGAGAGAGAGAGAGAGAGAGATAAGAATTTCTTGAAAGTTATCTGTTGAAATGCCTGTGGCAGAAGTCCTTTTCATAACAGAGTACAGGTATACATTCATTTGCTAATGCAGCCCAAAGGGATATTTAGAAGTGTGTGTACATATACAGATACAAAGCCCATATATCTATATCTATCTATAAATGGATAGATAGATATGGATATATGTATGTGTGTGCTGTATGTAGGTACATGCGTACCATTTTGCTCGTACTGGTAACGATGACGCCGGCCATCACCCTCCCCCGTAAGAGCCATCAGTCCCTCACTCCTTCTGCCTCGCCTCCGTCGCAGCCCCGAAGGAGAGCCTGATGGCGTGGCAAGGAGGCGTGTCCTGGAACCTCGAGTCCCTCCTCAGTCGCTGCCTCT